TATTTTAATAAACCGCTAACTCTAACTGAATCAAAAAAGTAACCCTAACTTCTGCCGGGCTTTAAGGACCCCCTAAATAAAGTAAAACTGAGGGTTATAGATTGCGTGCACCGTACGTACTTAATTTAAAAGTGACAATTAAGGTAATATCGTTAGATTAATTACACCGATACGCTTACAAATTTTTATTAAAAGTGTTTTTTTAACAATTAATACAATTAATAAATCAGAAACAGATAAATTTTTGTCTGGTATTTAATCGAACGCAGACGAGATAAAATTGCACTTTTAATTTTTAATCATCAGAATTGAATATTTCATATATACCGCTGGCCTTAACTATGATGGGGTTATAAAAGTACTTTAAACTGTATAAATGAAATTAACCAATCACGAAAAAGTTAACCTATACGCAGAAGTTTGTGGAACAGTAGTTTGTCAGAAAATAACGATAAACTTTCTTTGCTTAGTAAAATTTAACTGTTAATATATATTAAAAAATTATACGATGTCGCTAGACAAAACAACTAATTCCATTAAACCAACGCAAGATGCTGCTCCTAGTAGTGGCTTTTCAATGCAGATTCAGTCTAATAAAAGCAAAAACAAAAAGTTAGAAAAAAGAAATCTGTCTCTTTTTGCTTCAGAACCGAACAAAAAGCGTCGCATCACAGATGACGACCCAAATCAACCAACGATTGAACTCGTAACAGGCTTCGAAGATAATCAGATCCAAAGGTTAGTTTCTTTTACTTGTAATTTATATTCGTAATTTGTTAGCTCAAAATAACTACTTTCGACTTAATAACTTGTCTGCAAAATCTACTAATCACTATACTGTTTAATAAACGTTCAGTCTAAACCCAAAAGAAAGATCCGATCTCCCAATAACTATCCCAGCATTAAAGAACGCAGATTGGTTAGAACGAAGTCAAGCACTCGCAGCTACCCGTTCAAAAGAAAGTGATAAATCGAAAACTACAAATGTGAAAACTACAAGCGTTAAAACACTCGATAATTCTGTAAAAACTACAAGCGTGAAAACCACAAACGTTAAAATACTCGATAATTCTGTAGAATCACTAAAGCAACAGGCTTTGGATGAAATTTTAAAAAGTCAGTTCTTCCTCCACCACTGATCAAATTCATTACGCATATTTTTAAATCTAATTGATATATCATTTAGGCCCAAAAACTGACAGTGATATTGAGCAACCGGAATCAACACTTGTATTGCAAGTAGAGAAAAACAAAAATCTCAAATCTAAAAAAGAAAATGGGTCAGACTTGGAAGCATTTCGGCGTGAAGTAGCAAGTTTACCAGATGAAGTAAATATATTTTAATTTCTATGAATAACTTATTATATAATATGTTTGCATATTAAGACTTAAACCATTTTAGGCCGATATTGATTACACCAGCGTTCCAATAGAAGAGTTCGGTGCAGCAATGTTAAGAGGAATGGGATGGAAACCAGGAATGACAATTGGAAAAAATCAGAAAATAAAGTATATATTCTTCTCATTCTCAATCTTTATAATATGGCGAATGCATTGTTTCATGAATAACTAAAAAATTCTTCTGATAGATCCATTGAATTACGTGAACCAAAGGCACGTCCTACTCATCTTGGATTGGGCGCGTCACCACTTCCTACTAAGGATGCTTTACAACTCGGGTCAAAACGGTTGAATATGTGACCTCTAAAAATCTATTATTATTACACAGAAAACATAACAAAATTTAAATAAACAACCTTTTTTTCTTACTAATTTTATCTAAAAGTTCAATCTCGCTAATCTGGATTTAAAAAAAAAAAAGTTACAAACTTTTGGAGGTTAGGCTATACAAATTTAATTGTTTCTCATAACCCGGCCGGGTCAAATTTTGGAAACTTTTGAAGAAAAATTTTTTATATGTTTTACAACTGTTCTCATAAATTTTGGGACTGGTAAAAAATTGACCGAATGATTATTTGGCCGATTCGATAAGTTATTGGTTCGGCATGATCAGTGTTACGTTTATTATTTGCGTAGACAGTCTAACAGCTAAAGTCAGTTACGTACGTATCTACGTTTTAAATTGATTACTAATCAATTTGTAATCTAAAACTCATGTGAAACATATTATTTACGGTGCAGTAGTGACAATTTTAATTGATAATAACCAGAACCATTATCGATAAAACACTGGTTAAATATGATATTTTCGAAGCACATTCGCTGGAAAATAGTCAAAAAAAATTTAGAAGAATTATCAGTTCGAAACAATTGTTAAACACTTGGATGTTAGCAGCTCTTCGATTTCAAAGATATGGATGTGTTGAAAGACTTCCACCACTTGTAAGAAAACCACGTCACACTCAACCTGAATATCTTAAGGCTTTAATGGAAGATAGCCTGACTGGTATTTTTATGAATTACGATTAGAGATGGAACTTTGGTTAGAACATAAAAATAGAAATCGTTTAAAACCTTGTAGTATTTTATATTTTATGCGAGTTTTAATTTACAAATCGATTAGTGTTAGTAATTAGTTTAAAATGTATATACGTATAGTCATCGGCAAAAGTAATGCCTGATAAAATTTTCTAAACCAAAGTGATAAGTCACTACATATAACCCTTTTTTTTTCTTATTAAGTAAACTAGATTTAGCATTCTAATTGACAAGATAAAATACAATAATGACCAAAATCTGATATGATTTTGTGAAAATTTTGTTAATC